AGACGTAATGGAAATTTTTCTCTAGCTAAAAAACTAGCATGCATTTGCTATTTCAATTTTTCTTATAGTAAAATGATCCTGAATGGGAAATATTAAAAACTTATTTGAAGTTTCTGTATTTTTATTACAAACATTTCAGTTTGGCAGTGTATTTTTATGACAGTTAATAGCATAGTAATCCTGTACTACTAGGTCATTTTCACAGTATCAATACTGAACACTGGCTATAATGCATAAGTCTTAAGGTAATAAATAAGTAGCACAAGGGTAACAAATCATAGCACACTCTATAAATTCAACAACTGCTCTGAGTTGCTATATCTTGTTTAAAATCTAATAGCTCTGAAAATTAGTCCTGTGATTTAAGTTTAGTAAGTCAAGAACACCAAAGATTAATAAGTTAATAATAGATAGAATGAAATATCACTTTTAAATCACCAATAGCTGTTTAGCCTAATTTTTAGCAGTGGGTAATGAATCAAAATACCCCCCATCATTTAATCAAAATGATAAAAGTTTTGATGATTTCCTCCCAAGAACTAAGCCAAAATTTATAAGTTTCTAGACCATATTTCTAGAAGGAACACCTCTGAAGAAGAAATGTGCAGCCCCACTTAACTGACCATCAAGGTGTTGTATCCATCTGTGAAAGGTGTTGTATCCATCTGTGATTCCAAGTTCATTGTCTAGCTATGTAGTATCAAACACATTTCCTTCAAAACATAACAGAGAAGTTCCACATTTGAATTCAAAATACCACAGAACTCACTGGCAACATCGAAAATGAAAAGCAGGCTTCTCAAATGCCCAGAGCTAGCGGCTACTATCCAGATTCTAGCTCCTTCCAATAGAGCACTGGGTCTGCTTGAGCCAGTTTCAGAGGGAATGTCATCTCTGAAGTAAAAAATCAGTAAGGTCTTTCTATATGAAACCAGATGGTAAATAATTTAGACTTTATAGGCCACACAGTTTCTGGCAACTTAGTACTCAACTCTGACTTGCAGTAGCAAAGTAGTCACAGTTATATGTAAAAGTAATGAATATGGTTGTGAACCAGTCCTACTTTATGGACACTGAAAATAAACTTCATACAACTTTCACATATGACGATTTATCATTTTTCTTTTGATATTTTTCAACCACTTAAAAACGCCAAAACCACCATTAGCTTACCAGCCACTCAAAACTCAGATAGCTGTTGAGAGCTGCCAAATCTGGCTGCCTGCTATAGTTGCCATCTTGGATTAGAGCCCAGCTTTCCTTTCATTCTGTAACTATTACTTTCCTTTACATAAGCCTAGAAAGTATGTGCTTTCTCTTTCTGCAAGATTCCTTTTTTCTTCTTTAGGTCTTTAATGCCTAGTCTTTGTGTCTTTAAGGTCCCCACACTAGCACAGAACAATGAAGAGGTGAAGCAAGACACTGAATGTGGCCTGAAGGAAGGACACCAAATCCCACCTTTGTTACTTCCCAACTATGTGATCTTCTCCAAGTTACATATCCACTACAAGTCTTCATTTTATAATTTAATTAAAAAAATAACCATTGTATCCAACCATCTGAAAGTATTTCTCTGAAGGTATGACATTACATTGAGGAAGGTAGAAAGAACAGAAAATTTAGCAAGTGGATAAGAGTTCCCAACCACTTCAAAAACAAGTCTTAACCTTGATGTTTTCTTGGTAAGTTCCCCAGTTAAAGAAAGGAAGTTCAGAGAATTTAGTTAACTTTTTGTCCTCATGTGCTCTGGGATTGTGTGTGTGTATGTGAGAGAGAGAGTCTCTTTTCACATGAAATAAAATGCACAGTCTGCGTAAGGATAATGAGTTATTCTGCCTGGGTGGAACCCAAGATTCAAAAAGCGGACAGAGGACAAGTCTCTCTCTGCCTTTCCGAGGTTTCTCCTGGATCTTGGTCTTTTCCTCTCCACCCCATAAATTGCCAGTCTGCATCAGCAGATAGAGACAAAACTTTCCTTTCTCTTTGAATGTTCCAGCGTTAATTAAAGAGTTTACAAATGAACATGGTTGAAAAATACTGGTCTTGAAAGAAACATAGGAAACCATTTCCTCCATATTTTCCCAAAACTTGGTTTCTACCCAATTTAGATTGTGAAATGGTCAAGGTAATTTGAAAAACACAAAAATGTTGAGCCAGATCTGGAAACCTGGTGCAAACGCTTGGCAGGAATACTTCTTTCATCTAGAAGGTAGCAATATATAGGAAAGGTAAATCAGGTCATGGACATGATTTTTTGACACAAACATGGGGATAAACTTTTAAGGTAAAATTTCTATAGAATTTATAGGAAAAAAAATGATTGTTTTAAACCAATTTCTTATTTAAATCCTTACCCTTATAAGAACAAAGTAACAGCCAAAAAGTAATAGACACTTCACCCAGCACAATTCAGAGTAAAAATGAAAAAAAAAAAAAAAATCTTATCAGCTGTGGTCAATATACAGCATCAAAATTAAGAAAAGTTATCTCCTAACCATTGACTGATGTGATTCAAATAACACATTTCCTCCTTTAGTGGAAAAAATAGGAAAATTTCTTCAAATACTTGCTATCAAAAAGTGTCACTACTATCACTCCAGTCGTACTGGGATGTCGGGATATCTCAATGTCTCGAGTATATATAGATTTGTCTAACTTGGTGGTTTTCAGTGCTAGCCTATTCTATCCTTCTGGTGTTACTTATCCAATTTTTATTCTGAGGCATTTTATTTCTCACACCTACAGGAAGTACTGCCAGCATCTATTGGTTAATAAAGGTCAAAGATGCTGCTAAACATTCCTACAATGCACAGAAAGTCCTCACCTCAAAAAATTACCTAGCTCAAAGTGTCAGTAGGGCCTTGAAAGCACGGCTTAACCCATTTCTAGAAAATCTATTTCTAGCCTAGGTAAGACATGAAACAAATGAAGAGTGCTAGAGATGGTAATCATTCTTTTTAAAGATTGCCTATTAAACTAGACAGCTTAGAGTTCTAAAATTTGCTTGCTATTTACACAAGATAAATAAATGTTTCCAATTTAGTAATTTTAGTTGTAACATTTAAGGGACAGAATGGGACACAGTCCATGATTTTGGCCACATTATTGAGTACAAACTACGTATATTTATATACTTTACAGCAGTACCTGCACAGAAATTCATAATCAGGCTACTGTTGGCTCCACCTAAAATAAATGAATATTCTCCTGCAGTTAGGCAATAACCCAATTTCCCATGTCCACCCAAGTAAAACAACAAGTTGTCAGATTTCAGCACAGGTTTTATGTGGTCGTTTTCTGAGGAAACTATTCATATCTTAAATTCCTTTTTTCTGATGCTTCAATTATTAAAACTTTGCTGTCTAGTTCCGTGAAACTTAAAAGCCAAAGTGGAAAAGGAAAGTAATTTTTGACAGTAAACTTATAAGTGGCTAAAAAGTGATGCCTTCTATAAAAAAGTTAAAGGTCTTGGTAATGAAGCAAAATAACATATCACAAGACTGAAGGTCCCTCTATAAGAAGAAAGGTCCTTAGAGGTTATTTTATTTCCCAGTAAATTTCCTTGGGTACTTCAACAAAGAAAGTCATTTTTCCTGGAATTGTTTTCAGTGTCTCCATTTCCAGTTTGCTGAGGCAAACTTAGAATTTGTCTATTCTCCAGGTGTTGCACTAAAAGAAAAATTTAAAGTTAGGAAGAAAATTCAGTTCAAATGTACTGGATTCACACAGTGTTCAAAAACCCTTTATGAAACTATCATATATATCTGAAAGAAAATCATGGAGTAATTGATGGAAATCTGATGTTTCTTAAGCTAACAAAGCAAGTACTGTTCAGAAGAAATATACAAAGCTGGACAGTTTAGCCCACTGAAGTTTTCTGTAACACTTAGATGAAAACAAAACTATCGTTACACCCATTCGCTGGCACCATACACTGAGTGTCAACTTCTGAATTTGAGCTTGAAACAAATTTCTGTCGTAGTGCTTAAGTGCTTTTCAAGCAGGAAAGCACTTTCTTTACTTACCAAAAAAAAAAAAAAAAGAAAAAGAAAAAGAAAAAAGAAAGAAAGAAAAGTCAAAAGATACTGTTTTAAAAAATAACAACAGTACAGCAGAAGGGCAATTAAATACAAGATCTAATTTCCAAAAGTTGAGGAGCACCAGGAGAAAGAGGAAAACGCCAAGGATAGCGCCTGTGCAGCAAATGGTAACAAAGTGTATTTATTTAGTCAAGCTGGTGTTGAGACTTTAATTTGTCTAAATGTAAAAGGTTTTGTTTTACATGAACTTGACCGGACTATTCGTTGATGTTCCAGCTTATGAAAATAAGAAAGGGCACCAGGCTTCGGAAAAGATCGCTAAGGGAACAAACTGAGTGTGAGCAGTTTGCCCTCCAAATCTCCAAAGAGGAAAGCTGCCTCCTGGAGGTATGGGGTAGCCAGGCCACCTCACTGCAAACAACCAAGTTTGGAACGTTGTTTTTGGCAAGAGGTAGGTGTTACCGGCTGCTTCTCGAGGCGCTGGAAGGAATGTGTCACCATCAATCAGAAAGTACACTGAACCCCGTGTTTAGGTCACAGAGAGTACTGCCACATCCAACACGGATAAATCATGCCAATTCCAGAAAAGAAGAAAGGAGAACTGAAGGGAAGGTGTTGGATTCCTATGCCCTGCAAGACCAAAAGAAAATCTTAACTTATGCTGAAGGGAAATTCGCGCTTCCTCTGGTCGCCGAGACCTCCCAGAGCAGACGCCCGCGAGGCTTCCACCGGGACCAGCACAACCCAAGCGCAGTTCTGGGGAAGAACTCAGCAGCCACATTCCCGTGGTGTCCACCTCCACTCACCTGGATGTCCCGGGGAAAGACGAGCTCCCAACTACTCACTTCTGAGGTCCTGCCTGGCTCCCACTCACTGGGCTAGTGCGGAGCCAGGGGGCGGTGGATGAATGAACTGCCCCCGGCCGAGCCCTACAGTGCAAGGAGCTGCGAAAGTGCTCACCTGTGGGGATGCTGGAAGACTTCTCCGAGTTTGTACCCAGGCAGGGATCCCAGGGCTGGAAGATGAGCGCCAGCAGCAGCAGCAGCCGCAGCCGCAACTTGGCGGCGCACGACCCCATCTTCGGCCCTTCGAGGGCGCTCGCCTGCTCCTGCACCCCAGCCCCCCAGCCTTCAGCCTTGCAGCTGCGCATTTCTCGCGAGAGCGCGGGGACAACCTCCCCCACAACCCCCGACACACCCAATCCCGCCCCGGCGCGGTTGACTGCGGGGTGAGAGTGCGCGCAGCACCCCCGCGGGTTGCAGCTTCTGCCTGAGGGAAGACGGCCGGAGGTTCAGGCCGTTGCTAAAGCACCGACAGGCGGGTGTCTCTGGCGGCGGGCAACTTATAGGAGCCCCCGAGGGGGAGGTGACGGGGCGGGCCGCGCCCTGGCTATTGGCCGCCGACTGATCCGCGCGCTGCTGCGTGCGCCCTGCGGTGGCCTCTGTTCGCCTTCTTCAGCACCACGTCTGGAATTGTTTGCTTAACGCAGGCCTATTTAAGGAGCCGTCTGCGGCTACGTGTAGAGCCTCACGCAGGGCTTTTGGCTGGAACTTGGAAGCGTGTACTTAAGTTGGGAGTGGGCCTGGGGGAGAGAGGAGGAGCCACCAGGATTCTGGCGGGCGGTGCTCCCCTCTTTTCCCTTTCCCTCCCCAGCTTCAGAAGCTTCCCAGTAGCCTCGAGGGTGAGGATTCGCTCTGCTCTGGATCTGGATACTAAGCTAGTCAAAAGTTAACAACAAATCCAAATACCCTGAGTGGAATGAGATGTCCCCAGACTTTAAATCCTGGAAGTGGATCTCACCCCACCGCTTTGCTGTTGGGACAAGTTTCGTCACCCTGTAAAGGAAGGGCCTGTTTTTATTTTACTCTAAACCAAAAGTTTTTATTGTCCAGTGAACATTTCTTCTCCTCCTCCTGTGCCAGAAAAGGCTTACGCTCTCTCCAGTAGTAGCTTGTAAATCCTGGGGAATCAGAGTTCATCATGTGTTATCTGGGACCGTGCCTTACGGTTCTTTCAACATTGAATATTAATCTCTGAGCTTTTGTGAGTAGATCTCTCAGCACCCAGGTGTGTTCTCCCCTACTTAGAGTTTGACTGTTATTTATGCAAATTCCTTTTTGTGTGTATGGTCATCACATTTTAAGTGATCCCTTGTTTTATCTGTTCAGATGAGCAAGAACAAAGCCACAGGTTTAAGAAAAAATGAGATAATGTTGCCTCATATTTGTGGACATATCTTATGGAGTAAACAACTCAGACTGGCATTATGACTTTATTCTGGAATTTTCTACCTCTAACTTCCAAAAATGGAACATAGATTTGAGTCATTTCCAACTCTGACCTTTCAAAATCATAACAATTATTAGGGAAAAAAAGTATCTTGCCTTATCTACACATTTTTTGTAAAATTAGGCATACATTTGTATCTAGATAATGAGTACTAAATGGACGCGTTAGCAGGTGGAAAAACCTGAAAAATGTTGTGTTGCTAGGTATGATGATTCAGAGAATCATTTCCCATTCCAAAACTAAGCCTTATTTCTGTATTCTGAATGTTTGGTCTGATTTTTCAAGAGGAAAATTCGAGAAAGTTTAGAGAAGAGTAACAAATAAAGAAATGGAAAGTATGACCTCTGAGAAGAATGAAATAAGGTTTATTTAGCCTGAAGACGAAAAAAGAAAGAAGCTAAGGAATGGGTTACTTAAAAACATCCTTCCATGTGGCCAGAACAGCTCCATAAAACTAGACAAGAGAGCTTAAACATTAGTCCTCAGAGTCCCAGAACTCTGCTTGGAATCGGTTGCTTTTTTGCCAAATTCCAGTCTTCAGAATTCCACACCTGTCTACTGTGCCTGAATTCTGCCAAACATCTTGAATTTTATTTCCTCCTTTCTGCTGCTACAGGATCTTCAAGAACTTACATGGTCAGACCCTGGCTTTCTGCCCTCCTATAACATTTCCAATCTCCAGACAGATGGCACTTTCATTTTAAAGTGTGTGTGTGTGTGTGTGTATTTGATCTGCAAAGTCCACCCCAAATTGCAGGTTACTATTGACATTCCTTCTTCTGTACTCACAGATCAAAGCTGAAAGTCATGTGTGAAACAAGTGTTTCTTGAGGAATTTTGAAATAAGTAGATATGTCCATCACAATCTGAGTAAAACCCCATTCTGAAACCAAATCCTCCTGTCTTTTTACATTTCTAGTTTCTTGCTGAATATTTTGGCTGGACATTCCACTGCCACAAACTCCAAATGTCTTTAACTCATCAAATCCATATCCTACTCCAACTTCTTTCTCTGTTAATGATGCTGTTGTTCTATAATTTACATTGCCCAAGACATTTTCTATTTCCTCTAAACCCCTGCAGCACAAAGAGCTGGAATACAAATCCTGTCATCATTTCTGTTTCATATTTTCTGATCATACTTTTCCATTCATACTGCCACCTCACTAATGCACTCCTGGATATACTTTAAATGTGCTATTTGAGCTGTTTCCTAGCTGATCATGCTTCCTGTTTTTCCTCCTCCTTCCAGTACAATACCACAGTATACCACAGCTAGATCCATCATACTTAGATTCGCTTTTGATCACTAATTCCACAATTCAAAGATTTCAGAAGATGTTTGGAAATAATTCAAATCTTTAAAATTCAAATCCCTTCACTATCAACCTATCACCTACGCCTCTCTTTACCCAACAAAGCTGGTTTGCTTTATTGTCGGTCAAAACACATCAAAAACTGTTAATTTTACTTTTAGTTTGCCTCAAGAATCACTGTTTTACTTTGGGTTCCTCCTGGAACCAACCCTGAGATAAGTTTCAAGAACCAACAGTTTTGTTTGGATTTTTTTTTATAACATTTACTTTTTTAAAGATTTATTTATGCATACAGAACTGGGATACAGGAGAGGTGCAGGGGCGGTGAGAGGCTTCACCAGAGACAAAGTGGGGAGCAGAACAAGCAGATCAATGAAGTATACTGCTAAGGGGAACAGCAGGAGAGACAGGAGAGGTCTGCTGGGCCATGTAGATTATCCCCAGGGCTGGGGATCAAACTCACACTGAAACTGCTGTGGCTAGCTTGCAGTGCTGCACCCTAACCCATTGTGCTAATAGGGAGGCCCTTTTCATCATTATATACTAAATAATGGTCCCAAAATAACATGTATTCATACGTAAATTTGTTCATGGATATAATGTTTATCGTTTTCTTATATGTCTCAAGCATTGTTCTAGACACTGAAATGTGTTTGTGTGTGTATAAAAGCAAAATATCCCTGCCCCAAGGGAGTTCTTACTCTTCTATAAAGAAAAGTAATAAACATATAATTGTGATGAGTACAGAGAAAATAAATCAAGAAAAGTAACTGGGAAGGACCAAAGGAAGAGGGTATGTTGTAACTTTGAATGGAGATTCCTGGGCAGGTCTCACCAACATGATGCTTGTGCAAACACCTGACCATTGCAAGGGGAAAAGGTGGTTAACTTATTTGAGGGAACTGTGTTCTAGGAGGAGAAATGGGAAGTGCAAAGACCCTGAGGTCAGAACACACCTAGAGCATTGTAAAAGTTCAAGAGGGCAGTGAAGAGCAGGTTAGTAATTGTGGGTAAATTTGTAAAAGATGAAGCCTTAGAGGTATCAAGAAAGGCAGTGTAAATAGATAAGCAAACAGTATGATAACGTTTGAGCATGTTGACACTCGAGGAATTATGCTGAATGAAATAAACCATCATAGAAGAAAAAATATAGCATGATTACACCTGTAGAAGTATTTAAAATAGCCAGACTTATTTTGTTTCAGAAGTAAATGTAGAACAGTGGTTGTCAGGGGTTGGGGGGGGGGGAGGAGGAAAATAGGAAAACTGGTAATCGATGGAAATAACTTTGATGTTGCTAAAGAAATAAGTTCTAGAGAGCTTCTGTGCAAAATTTTGTTTGTGAGTAACAACAATGTATTGTACGCTTAGAAATTTGTTTATAGAGTATATTTCATGTTAAATTCCCTTCCAACAGTTTATAAAGAAGAAGGGAGAGTCACTTGGATGTTTGTGAGCAGAGCAATGGCATAATCTGCTCTAGGTGCCGCACCGGCATGACAGCAGAGATGGTCTGAGAGAAGGATGTCAGGATTAAAAAACACACTTCTTGGTCAACAAGCAAAGGCACACTTTATTCTTCTCTCCTTCCCTATTTATCCCTTCAGCATGGAACCTGGGGCTGGGGGGGAGGCGGAAGCTCTCAGCAAGTGCGTCAATAACATGCAACAATAACATGGGGGTCAAAGAACAGTCACATAAACATAAGGTAGCAAACACAAGGCAGGAACACTTCGAGCCTCCTGTTTTTCTTTTCCAGCACCCATGGCTCATTCTTTGTTTCCACACAACAGTGTGCATATGA